GAGCTCACTGTTTTTTTTTCCCCAGCAGGGAGGAAAATGAGCCAGCCGGGTGGAGCCTCTCAAGTTGGGGGTCCAGGGGAAACCAGCCAAGGGGACCCTAGCGACTTCTCTGAGCCCCCGGTCATGATGGACCGTGGCCGGCGGGCCAGCAAGTTCCGACGCAGTGGCAGCAGTGTGCAGGCTGTGCAGGAGACACTCAAGGAGAAGCAGGTCTGTGTGCTGGATAGCAGCCTCCCTGTTCTCCCAGTGCCAAGTAAGGTTGTGGGTTCCAGCAGGACACTGAGCAGTGGGTCGAAGGACGTGTGTTCAGCTCTCAGGCTGGGACGCTGTTGTACAGTATCGGTTCACTGGCAGTTGATGTAAATGTTACCGGCTTTGGATCAAACTTCAGTTGAGCCAATGAATAATCATTATAGAATTTCTCAGCAGGTTCACTCAGTACCAATGCTGAGATGCCCGTGTGTCTTTCCAGGCCAGGTATAAGGAAGCCAGGGAAGCACGCAAGATGAAGATCACTGCAGCTCATAAATACATTTTTGAGATTTTAGCTGACAGGCTTCCCATGGATCAGGCCACTGTAGAGGAGTTTGTACTTGATTCTCCATCTGTAAGTTTTTAATTTCTGTCAATGGTAGTGCTTCAGACTGCTGAATTATTTGAATGATGCTGACACGTTTGTGCTTTAGGCAAACAAGATTTTATTATTATACAGCTTCGCTTATCACCATCTCAAAAAGCTACAATATGAAACGTGATAATAAATCTTCAGGTCTCAGAGATATTGTTAAATTAGCACCATATCCATAAACCTGAGGCAATTTTAGACAAGACTGTATAAATAAACACTTCTATTCATTTAAAGTTATAGAAACAGTTATTAAAACTAAACTGGTGAATAATATGGGATCCTAATATTTTGATCAGTATTGATTTTGAAAGTTTGGCCTTTGCCTTAGTAATGTATTAGCATTAATTTAAACAAGGAACTGCAATGTATATACTATAGACAGAGGAAATGATTTGGCATACTTAGAATTTCAGAAGGCTTTTATTAAAATTTAAATTTGATAGGATTGTAAAAAATTAAATTTCAAAAGACTTGCATTGACATTTAAGGATATATTTGTGTTGAGAACTAGTTAATGGACAAGAAGCAGGTACAGTAGTACAGATTAGCATGTATGAGGATGAGTGCGATTTCTAAATAACAGCAATTTCTGATGTTTGACTGTAGATAATCTATAAGTGCCGTTTATATGGGTACATTTGGAAAATTAAGTTGTTTAGGTACACAGAGAGATAAAATGTGAAAATGTATTATTCTGTTTGCAGTTCCAACCATTTGAAAACTTCTTTGCCAAGGGAGGGTGTAAAACCATATCATTTGTCTACCAGGAGAGTGACATTCCAGGAATAGGTATGTCGCATGGAGTTTGAGAAACGAGTACACCAATTTATGTGAAGTCATTTCTACACATCCACAGCTGACACTTAGCCTGCCAAGTTATTGCATTTTTAAAGTTGCAACGTGTCAGATTGGAAACAGAGTTTATAGAGCGCAGCATTGTTCACCCCTCTTCACTGTAATTCCTAGACTTACATTATATATCCTATATATATATCCTATATCCTCACGTTCCTGAATCATGCAATAATTACTTCTGCTCTTTCATACTGAGCTGCAGAAATAAACAGCACTATTAAATGGATACGTACCAGTATGTGCTGGGAGGTATGAAAAATGTCAGGAACTTCAAGCAGCAGCTCATTCCCTCAGAGAGTTCTGGGGAATGTGGTCCTGACAGGGCTGTCCTCTCACGGTAGTTAATTTCAATATTCAAGCCTGAATATGGCTCACCGGCTCAGAGCTTGTCCCAGTTTCCACAGTGTTACAGTAAGTGAACAGAGAGCACATGACTCCCCACAGTTAGGAATGCCAGTCCATCACAGAGGTTACCTCCAGAAAATACTGGTTCCCAGTCACACAGCTGGATGGACTGGATGAACTGGACTAAGGTACCTCACTGAAGGTACAACAGTCTGTAGCACAGACTCAAACCCACAACCCTATCAGTCAAGAGTCCAGAGACACACTAACTACTCTACACAACCCCTCAAGCTAAGCTTACAGACGTTTTATGTTTTATCATTTTGTTACAAAACATTGCATACATGTAAGAAAATGCCCTTATTTAATATTGAATAGATCTGCTTTTCTTTTCACATGAATGTGCATTACTAATGCTTGGAATGAAATAGAACCACTGGGCATAGTTTAGTCTGATTGCATTTTCAGTTGATATTCCAAAGTACTAATTTCTGACTGCGGATTCAGATCTTAATTTACAACTGAGATTTATGTCCTATGGGTGCAACTCTAACTCTAGGATTTAGAAGTATTAGTGAGTGTTACATGGCTGTGGAGAAGAATGAGCACTGTTCTGTCCCCTGGGTTCTCTGTTCATGTGTTTCCAGACGTCAGGACTGTCAGTGGTAGCTTACACGTCATCAAGAACATCAATATTACTAGTCCACACACATGATTCAAAGCCGTATATATATTCTCTCAGAATACAAATCTTAAATTTGGATTTTCCTTTGGTATCATGCAAAGACACTATAACACTTCCAGAGCAGAAAATAGAAACATGTGCAATGCCCAAGTTGCTTGGTTAATCATTTGAAGTTTGTTCATGTGGAATTCAAGCAGAAGAGTTCAACATGTAAGGCTGCCTTTATAACTATAATTTCAGAGAGTGGCCGCACTTTCCCCGGAGCTACAAAAGGAGCAAAAGTAATGAGACTGTTCCTGGCCAGTCTGTCCGAGACGTGTCTCAGGGGCCTGTGCTTGTTCTTTGTGCGCTGCAGAAACGAAACTGCCATCAATCCCAAAAACATTCACGAGGTAGGTAAGCTTTCTTAGTTTGATGCCCATATTGATTCATTTGGGATGAACAGTGATCCACAAACCAGAGGGCTCCAGTGGAAAGTACACGGACGTACATTTAAAACCCAGAACGTGGAGTACTTCTTTACAGGTGCACTGGGAAGAACGGGTGACAGGAGTGTGGAATAAGTCACATGGCCATGTTGTTGTAGCGATACCCTCGTTTTTTCCAATTACAGCCGGATGAGATCCTGGGATCCGTTAACTACTAACCACCAAACGGGGTGGATGGGTCGCCTGGCTTCTTCTTGTCTGTGACCTGTGCAGTGTTCTGGTATTTAAAAGGGTTGATCAGCCGGTACTGGAATTTCTTCAGTCTGGCTCACAGTAGGCATCGCCATGAAAAGACTTCATCTGCAAGAGAACTGGTCCTAACTGCCTTTCCTTATGAAACAGTATTTTGTTTTTATGTGAGCCCCACGTACAGGCTTTGTCAAAAGGGAAGTATGTGTTTCTCTCAGCCTGGTGTGTTCTGGAGCTCAACAGCCCAGACATCGCTGACGTGTGTCTTGTCCATGGCCATGTGCCACAGGGGATGGTGGGGCTTTGATGGGTCAGAATATCCATGGGCTGTGGGGAAGATGTGACCTCTGTGAGCTTGTAGCGAGAGACATGCCTCTGCTGCTACTGGTGCTCCCTCTCCTGAAGGCCCTGCACACCTGGAGCTTGTCGACTGGCATTGACCTCGGGGTGTGTCAGAGCACACACGAGGCCTCCTTCTCTGTCTGGCACATGTGTGGAACGACAAGCCCGTTATTGCTAAACCTTCTTAACTGAACTGGAGAAAAATTGGTGTCTCCAGATTGCGTAGTTAGAAAATCAAAAAGAATTTGTGGTTCCAATGAAATAACCCACACATATAAAAAGGTGTTTACCAGACTTATTTAATGCAGATCAATCCTGGTGTGTGAGCAGCTCAGGCATTAGGTGCTGTTCACGAATTGTCCTTTCTCTTGTGTTGCCTGAGCGATCTGAGTTTTGGTTCCAGTATTGATGTTTTCAGAGACAGAAGACCCATGTTTGTGGTAGCTGGGACTGCAGCCAGGCGTGATGTGCCATTTATTGAATATACGTGCTACAGCGAAGAACAACATGCACATTGAGGCCATTTAAATAGAAAGTGGATGTCTTAGTAATGAACAGTTTGGAGCTAGATTTAGGTAAATGTTCTCTTTCTTTTTTTGGCACCCTCTGCAGGAGATTTTTTTCTCTACGTTAGAGGCCACTGAGGGTCTCATGAAAGGCACTAGGAACATGTTATCACAGGTCTTTTTGCCAGCTGTCATTGCTACTGATAACTGGGGAGCTCTGAGCCAATCCAAGCACGGAGAGAAGGAGAAAGAACACTTTAAACAAGCTATCCAACATTACATAGCTTTCTTAGACGGTAAGGACGTGCAGCACAGGGCAGAGCACCCTGCAGTGCCCGAATCATTCGCTTTGCGATTGTTTGTTAGAAATATGTCAAGTAATACTGGTAGTCTTCAGGGAGTAAATGGGGGTTTGCATTTCCTTTCTACAGCACCTGACGCACTCAACGGCACCGTAAAAACAGAAGTATCTGCAGTCATGCGGAAAATCACCTTCCCCTTTATGACCCTCACATGCAAACACAATCACTCCATCCTCACTGACTTCCTGCTGCAGGTGTCTCTGTGCCGAACTGTGCATGGACCGTCAGGGGGAATCATTGTGTTTTTACAGGAACTGGTTTTCTGGGAGGGGAATTTGACTCTGTCGTTTGACTGTGCAGGGACTCAAGTAAGCATCAAGGGAATGGTGCAACTAAAGATGCCCACACACATTGACTTCTCCAGACTGCAGTGCTTTGAAGATCACAAGGCTGCAGCCTCCGACCTGGACATGGTGCGTCAACTTGAAGAGGTGCTGATGATGTGGTACAAGCAGATCGAACAGGTACAGTATGTGCTGGCTGAGCAGCTGGGAACTGATAGAGAAACATGACAGCATTGCCTGTTTTCTTCCTGAACTGTCAATGTTAAGTTATTGTCATGCAAATTAAACAGCAATCTTTGAAGAGCTACTGCTCATCCCAACATTAAATAACAAAAGATGAAAAGGACCAGGCATGCCGACCAAATCAGAAATAGTCAGATACCTCCAGGTATCGAAACCGTTCTTGACAATACTGTGCGTCAGGTTACAGTATAATAAACTCAAAAGGTTGGCCGACTCTAATGAGAAACAGGCTCCTGCAGTAAGTGGTATGCCACTCTTATCTCTGGACCATGATTTCTGTATCAATACTAGAGTATGGTGACCAGGGATACTGTGCAGCAGGAATTGCTATCTTTGGGATAAATGATAAACTATTAAACTGAGACCCTGAATAGTTAAAAATATTCAGTTTCTTTCATCTGTTCAAGTATGTTTCCTCTAGGACCAGCCTGGTTTCTCTCTTTCGCACCGCCTCTGGAGCAGCAATGTCTTTCTGTAGCTTGATGTCCGCAGCTGAGCACAATATTGCAAGTGTGTTCTCGCTTGTGTATTTTTAATTGTAAAATGACTTCCATTGACCTAAGTTCTACACTCTTAGCAGTATTTTGTTGGCCTTTTTTATTGCTTCACCCTGTCTCGTTGAGGGTGTGATAAACGTACTGTGTATATACAGTATATAAACTCCTAGAGCTTTCTTACAAATTGTTTTTTTCCAGCGAAATATCACACATTTGATATTTTAAATTCACATTCTGGCTTTCTACATGTACCTCAATTTAGGATGTAGTGCTTCCCATATGTAGAAGAAATTTTAATTCTCTGAATAGTCACGTCCTAGCTAAAGTTTGTTGGCCAAGGGCCAAGTTGAAATTCAAGACTGGAAGTTACAGGATTGTATTGCTTGTGCTAATGTCACAAGTGTGGCAAGTCAAGTTGTCAAGTACCCTCACTGTACCAGTACCTAGATCATTGATGTTGATCAGAACTCTAATACCCCAGTAACGACCCCTCGCAGGCCTGAGGTAACTCCCCTTATCCAAACCCTCTGTCTTCACCTTTGATCTCATTGTCATCCATGTGGATGCTTTGACCTTGGATTCTTTCAATTGAAAGGATGGGGATGAGTTGTTCATTTCATGCTTTCTGAAGGTCCAAATATATCATGCAATCGCCCTAAAGTTTCCTTTTGAACTTGTTACTAACTCAAAGAAATTGAATCAAATCTACGTTACTTAGGCACAATCTGCCTTTTCTAAATGCATAATGACTATCTCCTAGAATGCAGTTTCCCAGTCCTATAACTTTATTGTAATTGAGGTAAGACTGAAGGAAATATAAGCCCTCTGTTTTGTTCTATGTGTTCAATGAATGCAAAATAAATGTGCTATTTTGCTATCAGGGGACACTCCTGACTCAATATTTCATCTGAAATGTCCTAGTGAATGAACAGTACTCCCCTCATTTCTCTGACTTCGAGAGGGTAGATATTGTCTGGTCCAGGTGAGGTATCAGTGTGAAGTTCTTTTTTAACTCATCCTCTGATATGCTGAAAATATTTCAAACTGAACAGGGTTGCCTTTATACCTGTAACATTATTATTATGAATTTCCTTCTGTGTGAATAATCTGTGCAATCAAACATTGAATACATAACAGATGCATAGTGCCACCTGGGACCTGCAGCTCAGTGTGTTCCCTGCACTTTTTTATTACTTTAACATGCAGCACTGGGTTTATAGTACAGCTCACAAGTCACATGTCTCATTGCCTATGTGTTGCTTAATCTTCCTAGGTTTTAACTGAAAGTGACCAGATGAGGAAAGAAGCTGATGCTTCAGGGCCTTTGACTGAATTGGAGCACTGGAAGAGGATGTCTGCCAAATTCAACTCCATCATTGAGCACATTAAGGGCCCCCAGTGCAAGACTGTTGTCAACATTTTAAACATGAGTCGCTCCAAGGGCCTTAAAGTAAGTTAATGAGAGACTGTGAGTTTCCAGATGGAAAGAGTTATCTCCCTTAACCTGTGTGTAAAGGACAATCCCCTGGGCCCAGGAATCTTTCTTCCTGCCCTTTGTGAGCCTGTTCTCTTTGTTTACTCACTGAACTTTGTTGTTTTTGTTCGGGTTGGGCGGTTGGGGTTTTGGTTTTCTTTTTTTGCCCAAGGGGGGGTTCTTGGAGGTGCAGGTCACAGCCTTCCTGGTGATTGATGTAACCCTCTGGTGTCCCCAATCAGTATGAGGACGTACCTTTCCTTAAGCACTGGCTAAGAGTGGCAGAGACCCAGAAACACTGTCCGTGGTTCCAGGATGGTCGTGCTTGCTGTTTGCCGGTGGTAGGCCCTAGTCCCTCCGACCTCTCCTGTTCCACACTGAAGCCCGGCCTTTGTCAGAGCCTCTCTCTACTGGACCAAGGCCATACCTGAGGAGCGGCTGTTCCACTCAATGGGCTGCAGGCAAGACTGTGACGATCTGAGGCACCTCAGCCACTCTTCCAGGAGTCTAGTGTCTGGTGTCAAGGCACGGGGGCGAGCAAGTAAAAGGCCCAGCCGCCAAACCAAGTGTGACTCTGAAGAGGTTATTCCACATTACTTGGTGATCTGTGTGTGAAAATGCCCTGGCTGCCAGTGATGGGCCGAAGAACACCTGGCGTTCAGTAGAACAGCAGTTATGACCAAAAGATGAATTGGAAATACTGCTGTGGCAGAATCTTCACAGAAAAGTTCCAAAAGTTGTTTTCGTTTGAAGTGTTTTTTAAGTAATAAGCAGACCTTGATGGTTTTCATTTAAAATATATATCACTTACTTTTTTTTTGCCGTTTCCTGTTGTAGGTGTGGAGAGAATTGGATTCTAGAATTACAGATTGTGCGAATGAGGCAAAAGACAATGTGAAATTTTTATATACTTTAGAAAAGGTCTGTCAGCCTCTCTACAACTGTGATCCAGTAAGTGCACACTGTTTTGTTCAGAAACTGTTTTTACCTCTGCATCCTATTGTTGCTGGTTCTTTACCATGAGAATGTATGGAAATGTGTATGTCATTGCAGGTTACAATGACTAAAGGTATTCAGAATTTGATTAATGCTATAAGAATGATTCACAGTGTCTCACGATACTACAACACGTCAGAAAGAATAACATCACTCTTCATAAAGGTAGGTCTTGATTTTTGTTGATTAAGTAATTCATCCTATGTGTTTTATAGGATTCAGTGCAATACAGGAGTTACACATCAAATGAGAACCCTCATAGGATGAGAGAACAGTTGTACAGTATGTGTTATTGCCTAAATGTAATACTCTACCAGATTATCTAAATCACTATAGAAATGTCACACATGTTCCAACTAAAATATACAGTGCTCCCCAGAATAATTCATGCTCCTGTTGAAACATGAACAATAAATATTACATAACAGAGTGAGGAATTAATTGGATAATGCCTCATTTAAAAAATCTTCTTATAATATTATCACAGAACAAAGATGTATTTGCCATTAATAACTTTTTCATTTATTGAATATCAGAAAAAACAAGTGTCTCCTTTATTCACTTATTAGCATTTTGTGTGGAATGGTTTATGCACGTTCTTAGGTTTGCATTAGTCAACTGTTCTCCTGAATCAGAATCCCAGATGTTTCATTGGACAGAAGTTCGGAACGTGAACTTGAACGTGGCCAGTCAAGAACAGTTATTCAGAGAGCAGTTAGCCTTTTCTTTGTAGATCTGGATGTAGATGTGGATGATTGTCATGCTGGAATGTCTATTTTCAGACAAGACTGAGTTTCTTGTCTGAAGGAACCAGGTGTCTGGTCAGCTCTGTCCTGGTACATGTTGGGGTGCATGAATTCCCCAGTCTTAACCAAGAGATGCAAAACCAACCCAAAACACAACAGACCCCTACAGACTTTCACAGGGGGCAGGAGTGTCTTCTCAACATGAGCTTTTTACATCAAACATAACTGATGAGCACGTCAAACAGCTCTATTTTCATTGTTCCAGTTGTCTTTTAAAATGATGTCGGTCAAGTCTGAGTCGCCTCTGTCTGTGATTCAACCTCAGAAGAAGCTTCTTCCTTGCAGCCCAGCTGTGAACATCACGCAGGAGACTTCGACTGGTGGTTTCCATCACTGTGTGTCCTGATGGTGCCAGAGTGTAAAGATCTGCAGCTGTTGCCTTTGAGTTTAGTTTCCTCCCAGACTTGTCTCTCAGCCTGTAGAGGTTAGACACACTGCTGTCCTCCTGGCAGGGTGGCCACTGGACCAGTAGACTTAGATGTCTTAGTAATGGACTGTACAGGGGAAAGTGGTGATTCAGCTCATTTTTGTGGAATCTTTTATATTCATCTCCAGCTTGTCAAATTCAATGACCACCAGCCTGCAGCCTTGAAGAGTCTCTGATCTTAATCAAGATGCTGCTGCTGCTCCTACTGAATGTCCTCTGTGTTTCACCTCCATTTACATCCCAGAAACACAGGAAAGCACTTACATACTGTACTTCCAGAGGTTTTTATTACACTTCCAGAGTGGAGAATGTTCCTGTCGATTTGTTTTTGTTTTATTTTATTTAAGGGAATACATAGCAGTATGAATATATTTGGCCCTCTTTTATATTTTAAATTAATTATGACAATTTGTCTTGCTCTAAGTAATATATTATGATTACAGTATTTAATTATAGGAATTGTTTAAGTGATACAGTCCATAAATCATTCTGCTGATGTTGTGTTTTGTTTCTATTTTATTGGGAATATGAATTCATCTGGAGAGTGCTGTATTCATTAATAGCCTTTCTATTCAAGCAACATAATCTGGAAATTAAAAATGCAGAAATGAACTGTCTTTTAATTATCTTTTAATTATAAAGAATATATTTTTGAGTACAAATGTTGTTACAGATCATCCATCATGTACTTTGTTATAAAGTGATTCTTCCTTTCTGTGCTAAAAAGATTAACTTTCCCTTGGCTACAAACACTTATATAGACACATTTACGAAACTTAATTTTTAAAATTCATTTTTAAAGTAGAATATATTTTCAAAAATGTTCATAATTGTAACGTTAACAAAATTAACAACATTAAAAATGGTTTCCCATGTTTCCGAACGGGGAAGAAAAAAGGGGAAGAAACAGAAAATCAAAATGACCAATTAACGTCTTGATATACAAATCCTAATTGTCTGCTGCATCTTTCTAAGAAACTTCAGATCTTGCTACCATATTAGTTACTTCATCTAACAAACAAGGTTGCTTGTTATTGAGATGTTTGCACATCATGAGAAATGATTATAAGATGAAACATGTTTTCAGGGAAGCTGCAGATTGTGTAAGTACTGTATGTGACTGCTTTCAACACTGTGGACCTTCTAATTCCTGATTCCTAATTCCACGGATGTCAGAAGGGACGAACCGTGGAATGGCAGGAGAGCGGAAAAAGACCCTATGTGTAGCAGCAGGAGGGGGTTAGCCCAGGCTCAGCTGTTCAGGAAATGCCGTATATTCGGACGTGGGGCGACCTGGTGCTAGGCGGGTCTCAGGACATCTGAACCTCAGTGCTGAGCAAAGGGAATGAGTGACCTGGAAATATATAGCCCCAAACAGAGACACACCGGAAGGACAAGCAGAGCACAGGAAACTAGGGACAGGACAGAGTAGGAGCGCCCCCTAGCTGTATTTCTTCTTTCAGCGACCAGCAGGAGTCAGTGATGTAATCTGGTTCATGCTGCAATTCTGCTGACAGAAAAGTGTGATGTGCCTTTTTTCCTCATTTTTAAAACCATCCCATATTTTGTTAGGTGACAAACCAGATGGTAACAGCGTGCAAAGCATATATCACTGATAATGGCACATCTCGAGTGTGGGACCAGGAAACACCAGAGATTATCAAAAAGACTCAGGTAAGTTTTCAAAGGGGTTCAGAGAGATGGCCACTCTTAAAGGTAATATTACTATAAACTCCACATACAACGGTAATATTCTTATTGTTTAATTCCTCCTGAATTTCTCCATGAGAGAACTGAACAGAGAAATGTCTAGTTAAGTATAATTACAATTCTTTGAGATCTCAACAACTACAATACGAAGGCCCAACCAATCTTATGTCAATTTCGATTTTTAGTAATTCACTGTATATAATCAGTACATTTTATAAAAATTAATAGCAAGAGTGTGTAACAAAGCACATTAAAAAACAGTGTGTATAAGGATTTTATTTTCAACGGGTCCTGAATGCCCGGTGAGTTATAGACTGTAGAAAAATAAACTGGAATTGAGCAGAGGAAAATGGGTAATATTCCTCTAACATCATATCACAGAGGCCTCTCAAGAGGGAGTTTTACAAACACAATTTTACTGTAAGAAAAAACCTAGAAAAATGTTCCTAATGCTGCTTCAGAGAGATGTAATTTCAGACTTTTTTGCAGGACTGTGTCTTCTTGTTTCGGGAGTATCAGGCATGCTTCCACAAGACAAAGAGGCAGACTGTGGACGCTCCAGGAGAAAAGCCATTTGAGGTGTCAGAGATGTACATCTTTGGCAAGTTTGAGGGCTTTTGCAAGAGACTGGAAAAGGTGAGCGTTGTAGTGGAACTCTGCAGTTTACTTATTTAATACAGCAGGTACTTCGCACATTTACATAACTCTATATAGAACAAGAATGAAATTGAGATCAGAGCAAATATGTTCTTGCTTCATACCTCAAAGAAATGAAGCCAGATACATGAATAACATGCATTTTATGAATAGTGTAATAGTGTTAATGTTGTACTTTTGCTCCTCATGTGAAAACAGTGTATCCTGTAATTGGGTCGGTGTAAATTATGTTTGCCCTTTAATTCATTGGTCATACCATTAAAGCTCTTAGAATTAGAATTTGTATAAATATAATTGTATTGTATGCAAAAGGTATAGAGCCCAACAGCAAAAAGTTTGAAGTTCAAAGCTTTACCTCTTGGTCAAGCACAATACAAGATTGTCTTGATGCAACGTCATTCTCATTGTCTTTCTTATTGAAAAGAGGGCTTGTGAACATCAATTGCTTAAGGTATTTCATTGTCAAACACACTAGTAGCGTGTTTGTAGACTAGAGAGGGTTCACCTAAGCCTTCCTAATGTGAAAAAGTGCAAAACTACTTTTTACAACTCAATCTAGATACTTCAGAGGCAGTAGATATTGCCACAGTTACGGTTCTATGTATCACGCCATCTCACAGTTAGTTCTGCAATTGTTGTAGTGCGTCCCGACATGCTTCTGTCATTGCCTGCGGCCTAATTGCCATGCTAGAAATCTAACTCATGTAAACAAGCTCATGGAGATCTTACTCATCAGTCCCTCTGAAGTTCCCAGGTGGAGCACAGCGTTGAATTTGACTGCAGCTCTCTCTGTCACAGATAACACAGATGATCACGGCAGTGAAAACATTTTCTGCTCTCAATAACTCAACGATAGAAGGCATAGATACCTTAGCTGGAAAATTTCAGAGTATACACTACACTATGAAGAAGAAGCAATACGACATTTTGGATCCTAGAAAAACTGAATTTGATGTAGACTTTACAGATTTTATGAGCCAAGTGCAGAACTTAGAGGTAGGTTTTCTTGGTGATTAGTAATAGATTGACATTGTTGATTTCTTAATGGTATTTATGGAAAGTTAGAAGTGTAACAGCTTGATTAGCTTCAGTTCACTGGTTCGGTTGAATTCACAGCCTCCCTCACTTACAAGGGGCCAGGGAGAGAACATTTCAGCCATTAAGGCCAGCTGTCCGTGATGGTCTTTGGGCACAGAAGGCTTGGTTAAACATAGGGGAGAATGGTTTCTTCTGCATTAAGGACCAGTTAAACAGAGGGGAGAATGGTTTCTTCTGCATTAAGGACCAGTTAAACAGAGGGGAGAATGGTTTCTTCTGCATTAAGGACCAGTTACTCTGGAAATCACTCTATGTTAAAAGCTCACCTTCTGTGAATAATTTTAAATTAATACCCAACATCCATTACTAAAACTTTTTTATAGCTTTTGATTTTAAGTGTTTTGGTTTTGTGTTAGTTTTTTGTTTTTAAGTTTCCAAGTAGTCAAATTATATATAAGTCCTATGACCAGCTGGGGTACAAGCAATCTATAAAAGTTAGATTTTATTTTGCCACCACCAGTCAGAAAATACCAGGTGTGGCCAAATGACATTTTGAATTTTCCATTAATTCAACTATTTGGTGGTTCAACTGGTGCAACAGTTTCTCTCTCCTCCCCTGATCTGCTGTGCAGTGGGGGATAAAGTGAGTCCCCTCCTGTATGTAAACAGCTTTAAGATACCAAAGGATAAAAAGGTGCTGATTAACTACAAGGCATTTGTATTATAGTGTAACAGGTTTTTCATCATACACTATTAAACAACAGTAATTATTCCTTACATTTCAAGAAAATATTTAGACAACTTCATTTATCTTGTCATCATTAAATTAGTTTGGAATAGTAGAGAATTGTGGAATTAGAAGATTAACTCTTATAAATATTTGTCATTTAAACATTTCAGCATCAGCTGCAGATGTTTATGAGTTCCTGTTTTGGTAAAATCCTATCATCTCAGCAAGCCTTGCGTTTGTTACAAAGGTAGGTAGTAATACTAAAATATTTTGTAAGGGAGAATGTACTTTTCAAAACTGGGAACGTGCATAAATTAACAATGATTTATTAAATCATCATGTAGACGATGTTTGATTTAGGTATGCTGACACGAAGCCTTCTATGTACTGCAGAATTAGTAAAAACAGTGCCTTGCAAAAGTATTCAGATACTTTCATAGTTTTCATATGTTGTTTCTCTAAAGGGGAACTGTGGCCCCAATTTTCTAGACCAGTTATTAGAGCTCATTAACAAAATAAATTAATTAACAGTATCACAGAATTTTACAAATTCAAAATTAAGCACAAAATCTCGAAGTTTGTGAAAGAACTGCATTGTCGCAAACCCCTGTTCTCGCCAGGGGCGAGAGCGAGAGTTGTCACAAATTGTGATGTGACACAACCCTTCCTGCTCACTAGTCACTGTAATGACTAATGTGATGCAATGTACAAGCGAATAAGTGCAGACATTTCACTGCAGAAATGTTCCAAAGTGATTTGCGTGCAGAGTTAACAAGTAGTATTTCTCCTCAAAACTGTCTTGAAGTCTAGAGCAATATTTCCATCAGATTAAAAGAGACATATTCACAAACCTGCTTGTTTACGGTGTAATAGGGCTTCTTCACTTCACTGGAAGTTTTGTTGTCTCATTGTGAAATGCAGGCAATGACGGCAATATTGTGCTGCACATACCTGTAAATGTCATCTATTTTGTGATGTAAATTGGAGGTTTTATGTTACTTTCATTGTGGTTTGAAAGGCACTCATCAATGCCGATTTTTTCTAACCCCAAAATATAAAAATAGCGTTGCAGTTCCCCTTTAAAGTCATGATAGTAGTAGCAAATAAAATTTTACATAGACAACAACTTACTTTACTCAACCAAAGCAAAAAAAGAAAGTCAATAGATATTTAATGTTACAGAAAAATGGAAAAGTCATGATTGCATAAGTATTCAAACCTTTTGCTGTGGCAAATCTACAGTTTAGGTGCACAAACTCACTTTGACAAATCACTCAATTAGCTGAGTAGGCTCTGTGTGCAGTGGTGGTTTACGTGAGTTCAGACTAAAATCACCAGTCTCAGTAAGGTTCCTCAGTCAGGTAGTGAACTTCAGGCAAAGATCCAACCCTGAAGACAAAGGAGCTGCCAGAATAACTCCGGGAAGAGGTTCTATAATGGCTACAGTGGAAGGCACCCAGACGTGGGTTAGTCCAGGCAGTCTCTCCACACTGAGCAGCTGGGTGAGGAGGAAGCTGGGGAACGATGCCACTGCAACAGCTCTCGTGCTACTGCAGCTCTTTTGAAGAAACAACAGTTTCCTTTTCAACGACTTTGAAAGAGCAGCAGCTTCAGTGGAAGAGAGAAGATGTCGAGGAGCCACCTATATCCTGGTCACGCCACAAAGGAGAATTGTATGGAGCTGAAGAAGAATCTTTGAATATTAAATACTGAACCTGATACCTGACACGATCCCAACATACTGCATCACTGTCAGCACCATACATACTCTCAAGCATGGTGGTGCTCTAGTTCTGCCTCATCAGTCGGGACGGCGAAGCTTGTCAAGACTGATGGGAACATCAGTGGAGCAAAGTACTGGCTAACGTGGCAAATCTTACAGTAAAAGCTGTTTCAGCCGCACAAGGCCAAAGCTACACTGGAGTGAGCGCAGAATAAGAAAATTAATGTTTTTGACTGGCCCAGTCAATGTTGTGACTCACTCCAATAAATAATCTGTGGAAAGACTAGAAAACGTATGTCCTTAAAGGATCCTTAAGCAACCTGAGAGAGCTGGATCAACACTAGCAAGCAGAATGGGGAATGGTGAGCAAAGCTGGTGGAGACTCATCCAAAAAGACATGTGGCTGTCATTACTGTCAGAGGTGCTCCCACCAAATATAGAAATCACGGGTCTGAAAACTGAGGCAACCAACAGATTTCAGATGTTTCTCTTTTGTTTTGGTTGTAATTTTCTGCAATTTCCCATGCTTAGAAGCCCGTTTTTTTTTCCTTCTCGAGTCACCTCTCCCGTCATTTAAACTGACCACTACAGGGGTCAGGGCGGTACGGTTATTATCAGCAGGACTGGGCTGGCCTCAGCTCTGGTTTCAGTTTTCCCCATGGTTTCATTCGTTCATGAATAAAGGTTACAGCAGGTATGGTGTGAGGACCCTGCTGACAGGGCTTTATGTGCTCAGCTCGTCCAATGCCACACTATGGTCTAAGGGGGACCTGCCACAAGGAAGTTCAAGGCAACGTCTCTGTGATTTTATGCATGAGAACCACTGTGACCCTCCTATTCACAGAGGCTGTTTAAGTCTTACGTGCAGTAGATCTTCTACAGACATGGTAGGTCAAAAATATGCTCAGAGAAGGAGAGGGAACAGGATTAATTTAAAAGACACCCCTTCCAGGAAATTTGAATGTAACATTCTCATAAAACCTCACAATGAATACACTTTAATCCTTTTTAGGTTCCAGAAATTGAATATACCCTGTCTTCAGGCTGCAATTTCGAGCATAGTCAGACTCATTCTTCAGTATTATGTTTCGGAGCTGGAGTCTGTTAAGAAGGTAAAGAACCTCTAAATGAACTTATCATTGCTTCTAAGATGGTGAAAAGTACTTAGTATAGTATATAGTATATGTTATATTAAAAAAATATACTGTAGATTTTTGATTGATATATTTTGATTACAAATTAAAAATACATTTGAATACATCCACTAAGTTTCAGCCTGAATCTTCTTTAACAACTAATTCTCTCAACTCTTCTTATTAACTGTTGTGAGGGTTGTATAAATGATGTTACAGTGCAGGTACAGTGAAGTAACATTCTGGAAACCCAGCACATTTTTACCCCCTTTGTCTCTCTCTGCACAGCTCTATCAGGCCCATAGAGAGGACCCTCCTCTGGCCCGGAACATGCCTCCTGTCGCTGGTAAGATACTGTGGGTGAGGCAGCTCCTCAGGAGAATACAGGAGCCCATTGAGTACATAGATGTGAGTACTAATTTACCTCCCTGGATTTCAAAATAATTCATGACTGTACAGAGACAAACCTAATATACTGTACCAAGCATCAGAACAAACGTATTACTCTGTTTATGCATGTATGTTTTTGAAAAATAAGTATACAGTTCAGGGTTTTTGGTGTTGATGAAGTATTTTAGGCATTATTTTATTTAATTGATCATAGCCATGATATATTTGAGTGATTTTAGATGTTGAATGTCAATCCTGGTGAAAATAAAGACATATACGGAAAGGAACCAGAATGACCCATTCATAAAGAGGACATTGCATTCCTCTGTGATGTGATAAGATGGAGCAACATGTCATTTTAACAACTGCAGGCTCACTCTGATGTGACAACTATCTGATGTGTCTTTATGCTACTTATGAAACAGCAGTGTTCTTCTAGGATGAAAAAAAATCATATTCTAAGATGAGAATTTAACTGTTTTGTAGTAGATGCCCTCTACAACAGATTACAGCCCCATTTAACACCAGTGGGATGAGCTGGTATTTGTGTCATCTAGGGTTCAGAGAGCAATGAAGAGGCTTGTCCCAACCCTATGAGACTACTAGAACTGAGTCTCACAAGACAGTATCTCCACCTGGTGCAAAGCAGGAGTGACAGATATACAGCTTGTCCTGCTTCCAGCAGCAGACACATGCTACCAGTCTGTAACTCCCTCAGTAGAACCTGTGCTGATTACAAATGTTAATCAGAATGATGAATTTATCTGTGTCATGTCTGGCCAGTAAAATGTTAGTGCATCTGCTACAAAATTATATAGATTATATATAGAAAAAAGTCACAGGTATACAGTGTGTACTGATTCCAACAGAAGCCATAGTAAAGCCCATGTTGGTGACATCTGCATAATGAATTTACCAGTGTCATGTCTCATCAGGAAAATATCTCTACATCTGTTACAAAAACACTCTGATTTTTCCCCGATACCTCTTTAAACATATTTATTTTGAGGCTGAGCAGGTATTCACAATATGCTGCCATTATCTTGCAGTGATGAATATGATCAAGTAAAATGTGGGGAGATTTTTGAGAGATGTAAAATTTATTAAAAAGGTTTGGTAGAAACTACAGAAGCACTGGGGCAGATAGGATTTCTATTCTTTATGTGATATCCTACATGTGATTTACAGAGCAACAGTGACGTCCTGTCATGTCCAGAGGGCAGGGATGCTGTGAAGATGTACAACAGGGCTGCAGCAGTGTTTGTGGAGTTTGAGATTCTGTACCACAGGGCCTGGATCAGGGAGGTCTCACAGCTGCAATATGGCGAGTATCATTACAGTCCAGAGTCCTGAGCAGGCCTGTGCCAGTGAGACTTCAGATCTGAGTACAGAGCGGTCAGGCTCAGGAGTCCTGTTGACGTGAAGTATGAAGTCAGGTTGGGAAATTGGGATTCTCTTTGTAATTTGATTCCAGCTTCCCAGTTCGTTTTTTTTTTAATCTGAACCTTTTTGAATCCCATGCTACACTATCACTCGCTCTGGAACCCTGGGTTCAATTCATCCCTGGCTTAGATGCCATCTTTGTGGTGTTTAGATTTCTCACTGTCTCTTTGTGGGTTTTCATCTTGTGCTTCAGTTTGCTCCCACCTCCCAAAGATATGGGATAATTAGTGTCTGCACATTGTCCACGTGTGGTTGTGTGTGCCCTGCAACTGACTGATGTCCGTCCAGGGTTAAGCTCTGTGCTTCCATCATGGATTCTGATCTGGAATAAGTGCTATTCTGTTCTAAGTTCAGCTCCTGCTCATTATTCAGTATTTTCTTTAAATACTGTTATGTGATGAAGCTTACTGCCATATTTAAACTGTATAATCCATTAAATATTCATATACTTAATAAGAAAATCTTTCAGGTCCTGTACTGCTTTAAAACCCTTAAGCAATACATTTGTCAATTCCTTACATCTTCATTAGATGTACTTTATGTGTAGATCATATGTATTTCAAATACTGAAATGCAGACATTGCACAGTACTTTAAAATATGAACCTACATTGTAATAAACATTTTGACTCTGAAATAAAAAGAAAAAGCTTTACATGCTTATATGCCTCGCTCCATTGCTTGGTAGGCAACTTTATTTGTAGCGAATCAATACCACCCTTATGACTCTGCAGTGATTTTATGTCTATTATGAGTTTGAGATGCTGCACTGCTGAACCTGTTAGTTCAGTTTAGATTAGGATGTTAGATGGCGGGTGTGGTCATACAGACTGATGTCCATTTGCACTGCACATGTGATGCCCAGATGGCCAGTGTCAAGTAAAGCAGGCCCTTTGTGCTGTTCATTTACATTTACTCCAGCATTGCAAGCTACCCTGCTGGTTCGGCACCCAGAGACAGGAAAACTGCTTGTAAACTTTGATCCCAAGATCTCTGAAATCGTGAGAGAGACAAAGTGCATGTTGAAGATGGGCCTGGAGGTCCCAGAGCAAACACTGAGGCTGGTGAAGGCAGAGAGCTCCATGAAAGCCAATCGATTCCGCTTAGAGGTAAAGAATCCCGTCAGCAGCCGATCAACAGTGCTAAGAACTGGGCAGATTATCAGCACAATGCAAAAACCCACAAAGCTGTTAAGAAACAGTTTAACATTCATGTGAGAAGTATTACTGAATTCTGACAAGTCTGTACTTGCACTTGCACAATCATCTATCCTTATTTTGCTCCAAATGATTCGTGAGGCAAATTACAGGAGCTCAGCTCTGAGGGTGTGCTTTCCATGCTGTGTGCTGTAGGAAGAAACAGGAAAAGATTCCATCAGACACATATTATAGGAAGCACCGCAACGATTCAGGATATAACAGGGAAACATAAATAGGACATGAATGATAACATGCAAATACATATTTACATAGTTCAGGTGGGTAGCTGCGTCAGCATGCGTAGGCTGGAAAGGAACAAGTTATAGGTTTATTCCATGCTGAAAAGAAAAGAAAGAAAACACAACGTTTTGGTCGTGGAGCCTTCTTCAGGTGTGAGCTCATGGCCGAGCTCACGTTGTGTTTTCTTTCTTCTCTTTTCAGCATGGAATAAACCTATTACTTGTCCTTTACATATTTACATGCATATATATAATATATATAAATAATGCCTTTTTGTACATTTCAGACTCTTCTTAACAATTATGAGACAACCTGTGAAAAAATACCAGCAGTGTTTGTTAATCTGCTGGCCTCAAAGATTAAAAAGGTATGTAAAGTTACTACTGTAAGTAGGGTTGGTATATCGTCCATTAATAATAATTGTTCTTGTGCATTTGAAAACTACAGTATAAGAAAAAATGCTGGTGTTCAGCTAGAGACTGTCTGCTTTTACATTCATCCACTGTGCATGGGGTTTCGTAAAGTGAATCAGTGTACCTTGTAATGTAAAAGAAGCAGATGAATACTCAGACAATGCAAGTATACTAGTGCGTCTCAATATGATATCAAGCTATACACATTGTGGGAGAAATGAGTGACAACAAACAATAATAGGAGTGATAATATTTTTTATATAGCACTTTTCACTATGTCATCATCTCCAAGCTCTTAACAATAAAACAATCAACAAAAAAACACAGGAAAACAATTACAACTACAGTGAAAATGGGAGAATGAAAACTCGGAGTATGAAAGATTTGCAATATCTAACATGAGATGGAAGATTATTGCACAGTCTTGGAGCAACAGCACAACAAGCTCCATGGGGTCTACCAGTGTCTCCCAAGAAACAGGCAAGCTGAAACAGGCAGTATGTCCTGGAGTGTTTTAGGTTTAGTTAAGATCATAACAGCCGAACTCTGAATGTGTTGAACATTTTTAAGAACATGTCTGGAAACTCCAGCAAACACTACTTTACAGCAGTCTAGTCTGGAAAAGACAAACTTCAGCTTTTCTGTGTCCAACTGGGAAAGATGTGTAAAGATACATGCAGTGTCATGCAGACGAATAAAAGACACCTTCACAACACATGGACATGAGCTTCAGATACAACACTGACCCCAAGAGCAGTGGAAACCCTCTGTTTCCTGATTGGAGAACCAGCCCTGATTCCAGGACCATCAGCAGTCACACTGAGGAAAGCCAGTCAACATGACCCCCTGAAGACTCAGGTCAGAGCCACTCTGATTCCTGACTGGAGAACCAGCCCTGACTCTATCAGCAGTCACACTGAGGAGAGCCAGTCAACATGACCCCCTGAAGACTCAGATCAGAGTGACTCTGATTCCTAACTGGAGAACCAGCCTTGACTCCAGGACCATCAGCAGTCACACTGAGGAGAGCCAGTCAACACGACCTCCTGAAGACTCAGGTCAGAGTGACTCTGATTCCTGACCAGAGAACCAGCCCTG